AGTCAAATCTGACTTCTGCAGCTCGTGTGGGATGCAGGGGTGTATTCCAGAAAGCACGGTTAACTTATCGTCAGCTCAACTCTGAACTTTCGGTTGATTAACCCCAAACCTTGCTTACTCGAGGTATGTGGTTCCAAAAACAGACATACAGACAAAGACATTCTCAGCAGAGCGACGAATGGATAAGTCGCTATGGAAACGGACGCTAAGAAAAAGAGCACCATGCTGTTTGTTTCTTTCTTCTTTTGTCCAATGGTCATTTACATGCTTAGTGCATATCGCCACCTAATTGATGGTTGTGTACTCATTTTAATTTTTTTACGTTTAATCTTTAATCCTTGAGAATATGAATTATATTGTTTGTCTGATGCTAATTATATATTAAGTCATATCAGATGTATTTTGATTTAGAATTTAGACATTATAGAAAATGCCGATCCATGTGTGAGATGATAATATAAAATGTAATAAATAAACTATATGCTACTAGTTTTTGCTGTGGTATCAAATAATTATTCTGCTATTTAAATAATAAAGAACCATGTTTTTTTTGCTCATCTGCAAAATGAGATCTGTTACTCAAAATCTGATATGATAATGCAATATGATCCGAGCCGTGGGTTTTGTGATCCGTTGCACCCCTACTCTCTTGACTTATTTGAAGAAAAGAAGTGATCACTGAAGTTTTTAATCATGCTGATTTGTCCGCAGTGAAGTTAAGCCGATGTCTTTTTTTTAATTTTTATTCGGGCTACTTAAATTCATTTTGGGCTACCAAAATCTGAAGAATGTCTGCCCGAAGGGCTACCAGAGATTTTGAGATATTGCGAGCCCTGCTTGGCCAATGAAAGCTGCCATGGATTCCAGACCTTCAGCCGTCAGTCTGCATATCCATCGCCACCCAATTGATGGTTGTGTAATCATTTGAATTTTTTTCCATTTGATCTTTAATCCTTGAGAATATGAATTATATTGTTTGTCTGACGCTAATTATATATTAAGTCATATCAGATATGTATTTTGATTTAGAATTTAGACATTATAGAAAATGCCGATCCATGTGTGAGATGATAATATAAAATGTAATAAATAAATATACATAATATAATAAATTAAACATTACCTTGTCATAGTGTTTTATCATTTATACAGATAACTGTTATATATGCCATCTGAGTTTGGGTTGCTATAAGCAATCAGCTCTGTAAAAGAACAGTTCCACACTTCACTCTGAAACATGCAGCGTTTTTATTTGCTTAGTCATAAGTGATTTCAGGTTTATGTCGATTAATCGCGAAGCCCTACACCTGGAATTAAAGTACCAGAAACAGTAATGTGGAAAATCTCAAATCTGTCACAGTAATGGATTGTTTTGTTCAGATCTGAAATGGTTGTCGAGGCAACAAGTATGATTTAATAGATATATAAATTGCTTAATTTTTTTTCAGGAGCCTTCTCCTTCAATGGACGCTTACTATCTTCCTGGTGCAGCTGCGGATGATCTAGAAAAGGTTCAAGATACAACTTCACGCAAACGGAAAGCCTCTGGGGACATGTCCACATTGAAGAAGAGTCGTGTGAGATGAAATGTACAATTTCTAATGCTAATGTAATATGTATTTAAGTGATTTTATTCAATTGTTACATTGTAGATAAAAAAAAAATCGTCTTGGCAATAAAAAAAATAATAAATTCATAATGTGAACCACAGCCCAAGAAACCTATTGAATAGTCATGCATAAAAAATTAGAAAACATTTTTTTCATAATTAAATAAATTAAGGTGCGTTCTTCAACAGAAATCACAAAAGCCAGAATTACACAAGCTTGCATTTTTGTTATGCTAGACATTTTTAGACTGATGTGCTACCACTTTCTGCCCTACAGAGGGAGTGTTTTCACGTAATGGAAGGGTGTTAAAACAGGATGTACAGGAAGACAATTTAGACATTGAGAAAATGATCTTGAATCACTATGATACCTCATAAAATAGTCTGCTTCATGTAATACAGTCTACTTAATGGAATCAATTTAAAAGTGGTTTGTAATTCAGTTTAGCACTCTGTTTAGTGAATCCTGATTATCTGATAGTGTGTAAAGAGTAGTTAAATTTACTCAAGGTGTTGCTTACAGTTCCTGTTTGACCCCCGGTGTAATTCCTCTTTATGAAAGACATCAAAATCTTCTGTGTCCACAGCAACCGTTCCGTTACTAATGGCAACAAGTGCACAGATTTTTTTGATGCTGCTGCTGTCTGACTTATGTCATAGAACCAATTCAGATGGTTATTACTTGGTCAAATACACATCACTCGATTGAGCTCTTTCAGTGCTCTTCCTGTATTAGCAACAGGGTTACTATAACATTTTAATGTTAGACCATTTTTAACCAGCCTTTTTTGCAGTGCCATTTCTTCCTACACAATTAAGCTCATTTTAAAGGGTATTATTTGTAATGTTTAAACTAACTGCCCTTTAAACTAACTAGTCTTTGTCCCCCTTTTTTCCCTCTAAATAACAGATTACTGTTTTTTATTTATTTATTTTTTACATGGAAGTTCATTTATTAAATGTTATTACATTTAAGTAAAATAATTTATTTTGCATGGAATCCCTTGATTCCTGTCACACACATTCACTTCATGCCATAACTGGGTTTGCTTGAGAAGTCTGATGGCCTATATGAGCATGTAAATAATTTACCCTGGTCATGGCTAAGCCTGCCACCATGGACTACTGAGACCGGGGGGTTAAACCACAGTCTCAAAGCCATCGGATTACGAAGTTGGATCCCCTATTTGTCACAGAGGGAAGGAGGTGATAGGGTAGGGGGAAGGGAAAAGGGCTGTTCTGAATGCCTGTTTCACTTACCGAACACAAATCTGCTATCACCCTTTGTGTCATTGCACACTGTGTTTCTGCCTTTGTCTTTCTTTGCTTCAGTCCTGAATGAGTAATTAAATGCAGTAAATTAACCTTTTTTGCCCAAGCTCTACAGCACTACTGCTGGTGCAGATAAGGCCTCTTTGCTCCTTACCTGTCTACAAGACTGATATTGGGACAAGTAGTCTAATGAGAATAACCCACCCCACCGGGACCCCAATCTGATAGCAATGCCATGTTGCTGTGGTAATAGGAGGAAGGGTAGCATGTTGTGAGGTTTATGACCAATGCCATGGAAAATGTACATATTTCTGTAATGTATGAATAGGGGTTATGTCACAGCAATTGTATAGAAATGGAAGAGAAACAGAATGTCCCTTTGTTCCCGTCTAAAATCAGGACAGTCTATTGTTGCTCAAGACAATGTTAAACAAAACTGCTCCTTTATTCATTCAATAAAGTAGCAAACTGTAAATAAAATTCACAGAATTTAGAAAAGGAGGAGATAGTGTTTTTTTTTTTTTTTGGCCATATACAGAGTAGTGATTTCTGTGAATCTGTTCATTTCAATGAACAGTTCAAACCCAATTCACTGATTCAGTTTTACGTCTTGCAACTTGTTTCACAAATTTGTGTTTATTGCATTTCTTCTGGTAAATTTCATTATTGTAAGTCCATGTGTACCAATTCGGTTTGTTGCAGCCATGATTCAGCTCATTAAATAGGCCTATAAAGTAATTTATAACTTAAATTTAATTCGTGTAAACACTGAAGCATTACTTCATTTCTTTTAGCATACAATTTTTTTTTAGCATGTTTTAAAACGTAATAGTTAAATCTTTAATCATAGCGAGTCGTGAATATCCGATTGAAATTATTCTTGGTTCAGCGAGTTAATGAGCTCGACAAAAAAAGTGATTCGAAAAAAAAAAACTGCTCGGACGATTCCTAAACGTATCTTAGGGGGATGTTATTATAGGTCTATTATAAGGCTGTCATGGAGATAATTGGGGTAATTGTCATTTTTGATATTTCGCTGACATCTGTTAGGTTGTAAGGGCATTTTATGCGTTGTATAGCTTAATTTTGCATGTAAATCACGCACAGCAGTCTGTTTACCAATTTGATTTTAAAAAGTCAAGTCTATCCCTGTTACTTATGTGTTTCTATTATAATACGTTTCTATTCCCTGATCTGTGCTTTGGTGTGGTCCTCGGGCAAACCTGTCATCCTATTGCAGGATAATTCACGTTAGAGACAAAATAACCTCCTCGGGCCAGTTCCCCAAAGGCTCGCTTGCTGTTGCAGCAATATGTGCTCATTATTATTCTGTGGCCGTATACCCTACAGTCTACGAAACCGTGTTAAAGAGCCGGGGTGACCGACACGCACCATCATTACAGCTGTCTGATATCTCTCAACCGCCACCTGCTGCCTGTTGCCTTCAGATGACCAGTCTGTGATCTAAACAGGCTATCCTATGTGTTTGGGGAGGTGGTGTTGGACTGGATGGAGGCAGGGGAGGCTCGCTTGCTGTTGCAGCAATATGTGCTCATTATTATTCTGTGGTTATTATACAGTCTACGAAACCGTGTTAAAGAGCCGGGGTGACCGACACGCACCATCATTACAGCTGTCTGATATCTCTCAACCGCCACCTGCTGCCTGTTGCCTTCAGATGACCAGTCTGTGATCTAAACAGGCTATCCTATGTGTTTGGGGAGGTGGTGTTGGACTGGATGGAGGCAGGGGAGGGCTGAACTGACCGCTCCGCTCATGTGACAGTCTGATACCATGCGGGAAGCATGTGCGCTTTGAGCGTTTCACTTGGACCGGTGACGCGGAGGCTTTGATGAGCCGGTTCCGCTGGAAGGAAGAGGTTTCGGACTAGTCCCCATATAGGTAAACCTAAACACCTTATTCTCCGCGTTATCTACTGCGTGTCGCTGCATGTATTGTCTTTGCGTAGATTGACATCGTTATTACGCATTGGTAGCGACTCGTTTTTTTTTTTTAGCTCTGATGACAGAAGTGTCTTAAAATCATTTGTGAATATATCATTATTTTTCAATGATTTTGGGCTCTCCTTAGTCAGCATTGCACTCATGAGAGATGCTGTTATCAGTGACTTGATGCATTCTACGGAGTCATAGATGGGGATGGGAATCATACCGAATCGATTCTGGTTCTCTAACAGTTCAATGAAAGATTCTTTAGTTATTGGGAGATGGACATATTTAGAGAAATTTGAGTTCTTATTTTATTTACTGTCCCCAGCAGTCTCAAACGGTTAGATTTCAGATTTCAACATAAAATATATCACAAATGAATTGAACATACAAATTTTTAATGCAATTCTTTAAAAAACAGGCCATAATATATTACTTAAAATACTAAACAAAATGTGGTGGCATATTTCATTCATTTGTTCATTTTATGAAAACAAAACTCAAAATGTGTTGCCTACACGTAGTCATATGAACATCCAGTCAGTAACGTTGGTTTAAGTCTTACAAGCCCTAAGTAGGCCTACATTATAACACAGGAGGGAAAATAATAACTTAAGGTTCACTAAGTGAGTCAGATTAATTCAGTAACCGCGCAGACTGATTCATAAATGTCATTAATTCAGTGAAAGATCCTGCTCATGAGAGTCATTCGCTCCGGTTCATGAGAATCGCACTACACCCTGGTTATTTATTGATTCATTTATTTTAATACACTAAAAATACCGATTCATAAGATTCATTCATTTGGGAATCGGACTACACATGTCTCGTATCTTTTTTGATTTACTAAAAATAACCAGCTCAAAAGAGTCATTCGTTTAGGAATCGGGCCACACTGGTGGCGCTGTTGATTCAGTAGGCGGTGTCGATGTGCTGAATAGAAGTGCAGGAAACCCTGTCAAGAGTATTTTAGTTCGGGTTTTTGTCCGCAACGGCTGAAAAATGAAAAAACGTCATTAAAATCGATCGGGTCCACTATTTTCTAAATAGAACTGAACAAGAACTAGTTATTGATTCCCAACCCTTGTCATTGAGTATAACGGCGCGCTCATAAACTATCATTTGAATGGCTCATCATTCCAAAATCTCTCTCTCTCTCTCTCTCTCTCTCTCTCTAGTCACAGACAAACACTCTCGGGTATGTCAAATTTATTTATTGTGAGCTGTCGCTGAAGGAGAGTTGACGCTCAACGGTATTTCCAGGCGTGAAAGATCATTGACTGTGTGTTTCATTGTCAGGATTCTGAGGATATAACGCAGACAAACATGATGTTATGCTACAGGCGTCTTTGATCGTTTTCCATCATATTATTATAAGGTAAGAGACATCAGCTTTTCTCACCCTTCCTCTGGAATATTTGCCTTGGTAACTCACGTGGCTGCACCTGCACAAAGAACTGATGGTAGGACTGTATATTTTTTTTATTGAGTTTAACACACTGAGTTATTAAATGGATCATTCCTTTACATTTTTTTGCACAGTACTAGACTAGAGATAAACTGATAAATGGTTTCACATTTCTGCTGTTAACTGGCCCCTCTGTGACTCTTTTGTATTGTTTGCATAAATTACTCAAGCTTTCCCAAGCAACTATTCATTTTTAAATGAGAAATTAATCTTAAGCTTAACAACAGCCCAAAACAAGCATGAAAAAATATGGCATCATTATTAATATTGTTGTTTTTGTTTGTTTTTAATATCTTTAATCGTATTGCATTTTTAGATTTTATTGTTGTAGTCGAATGCTGTATCAGAATAAAGTAATATGTCAGTAAATATTTAAATATGTCAAAAAGAAGTGATTGATTTTGCATCACTTATCAGCCATTTTGATGATAAAAAACAAAACAATATTGGTCAGTTTTCATTCCAGATCTCACAGAGCATCAGACATCCTCATTTCAGAATCCTCTTCTTTTCTTCTTTTCAGTTTGGTGGCATGCAAAAAGCCCGTTCTGGAATCTCAGGTACCTAAGTGGTTTAGGAACATAACTTACATTAAATAATGTTCATTTGATCATTATAGCCATTTAATTGAATCCTAAATTATTTGGATTCAAGCTAGTGTATGAATGTTATTGATAGGCCTACTGTATGTGCTTTCCCTGAGAATCCAACTTATGACCTCGGCATTGACCATGTTCTACAGGAACGCCTGTAGAAAGACTACACAACAGAGTAAATGTTTCCTTTACCTTGGGTCTCATTCAGTGATATTCAGTTCTAAATAATGAGGCAACTCTCTTAAAGCTTGAGGCCGTTAGAAGGGGTTCTCTCCATAAAGATGCTCCATTTGTGAGCGCTTAACGTTCCTTTTTTGTGTGTGTTGGCGGACCCCCAAAACAGTAAATGTTTAGAAGTGCGGGGTCATTAAAAGTTGGTCGCCAGAGAGCATTGTGAATGGAATGTTAGTCAAAGTCCTTAACGGAACACCCCCAAAGGCTTTGTTCTACAGGACAATTCCCCACTGGTTTGTCCAAAGGGGAGGGAGAGGGAGGGAGCAGGGTCTTGGGTCAAGTGGCGAGACACTGACATATGTAGCTGACAACTTGTTCAGAAAGGGTCACCTGGGATGGGGCTGCTAAGCAGTGAGTGTCTTGTGAAAAGTGGAGGAGGATCTTTGATTCATTGGGAGCAAAGGGTGTCACCTTTTACCATCCATTGGTTAACTATCCTTATCTGTGTTTGTTTTTCTCTAAACATGGCATTCTTTAAAAATGACCTAAGTGTCTGAGAAAAAAGACAGCCTTGTTTATTTTTGTTTAGTTTTCATGGAATCTCGTTTGTTGCAGACAATGGTAAAAAGCCATTTTTTTCTTCTTTTATGTTAAGAAAAGTACCTTACTTTATTGAATTTTGAATTTTACTTACAGAAATTGAATATTTTTATTATTTTTATATTATTTTTATTATATTAACCGGGACTAAAAGCATGTTTATTAGCATTTTGGGAGACACAACAAATGATAAGGGAAAGAAATTATGTTTCAATATTCTATGAAATATTCTATATTATTATGAAAATCTTGTCAAATATTACTCCCATTATTACACTTCTTTTTTCATTACGTTGCCCCAAAAACACATTAATATGCAAATTAGATGTAGTTTATAGATACATTGTATATAATGAGAAAACCCATTTATGGCCATTTTACACACATTTTGCAGAAAGAAAAATGGTATATCAAATCATTCTGTTATGACATAGTTGAGAATTATATTTAAACAAAGTTTGGTAAAAAAAAAAAAAAATCCTGAAAACTAAAAATGTATTGGTGATTTTAAAAAATCTATTGTTTTTGCCTATGCATGTTCATTCATGTATTTTTTTTTGTACCGAGGACATAGCATAACTTATGAACGAAATATCATTTAAAAAAAATATTTAAAAAAAATAAAAAATTTCATGCTCTTCTGAGGGAAAACAGAAACAACAGTTTTTTTCAGTGCAGCAAGAAATGGGTTGTTTTGCATATTTTGGTGTTTGTAATGGTTGTGAAGATTATTGTGAAGATTTCTAGTGAAGTACATGATATTCACTAAAATGTTTTTCTTGAAATAAATATAAGCTAAAGAGTAAATAAAATAATAAATTGAATTTTGTAAATAAAATTCACGTGCTATGTGACATTATTTTCTTGAAAATTAAGTGCATATTCCCCATTATAATGTTCATTTACATTATAGAAAACATTTTTTTTAATTTCTTTTGATTTTGAAATGAATGTTTCTTGACAAGTTTTATGAGCTTTACGCTCATGATGTTTAAATTGATTAAGGACACTGCCATTTGATTTATTCTTGAACACCAGTTTTCTTTAGTTAGGATTACATAAACCCATTTTTTCCTTCTTTTTTTGATCTGTATCAAGACTGAAATTCTTGAATCCAAAAATAATATGTGTGCACCTTCCCTGGTGAGCCAGAACCCCAGTATAATAGAGCCGCTTCCATTTTGAGTTGATTATGTCATTTTCAGCTGTACTCTCCTTGTGTGATACAGTGTGTCGTGGATTTGTTCTTACTGTTAGGATGTTAGGACTGCACCAACGCTTCATTATAATGATGTAAACTAATCATAGTCCCTGCTGAGGTTATAGCATTTAGAATAATTCCTCTCAGTATAGTTACTGTAGTTCCGTCATTATAAATGACAAAAATGCCTTATTGTGATTTTTCTTGATGAACAGGTCATAATCTATACTGTGGTACTACTATGGTACAGTGAAGGCACCAAATACCATGGTACATGTCCAAAACAACCAGTACTTTTCGATACTTCTTACAGATATGCTCATGTTAGCGTCAGTCAGTATTCTGCTGTGTGTGTGTGTGTGTGTGTGTGCGCGTGTGCATGTGTGTGCGTGCGTGCGTGCGTAAAACAGTAAAAACAGTAATATTGTGAAATATTATTACAACTTAAAATACTGGTTTTCAATTTGAAAGTATTTTAACATTTAATTAAAAATCCTGAATTTTCAGCAGATGTTACTACAGTCTTCATTGTCACAAGATCTCAGAAATCATTCTAATATGCTGATTTGGTGCTTTAAAACATTTCTTTTCATCAATGTTGAAAACAGTTGAGCAGCTTAATATTTTGTGGGAACCGTGGCATTTGTTCAGGATTGTTTGTTAATAGAAAGTTAAAAACAACATTTATTTGACATAAAAATCTTTTGTAACATGATGAATGTCTTTACTGTGACTTTTGATCAATTTAATGCATCCTTGCTGAATAAAAGTATTAATTTCTTTCAAAAAAAAATTGTAGTTTGGAGTAATTGGGCCTCTTTAAATTCTTAAAACAGATCCAAATATGCTCTTAAGAGCTTTGTATTAAGACTTTATTTCAAGTATCAACATTAACTTGATCACTGACGCCATTAAATTGGACGCTCACATTAAGTACTTTAAGAAAAAACAAACGTTGTTCTCCTCTGTCTTCCATCTCTGCAAATTCTGCTTCCTCCAAATAACAAGCTTCATTGAACACATTAGACTTCTTGATCATTTCATCTTGTTAGATCTAGAGTTTAATGTCAAAGACGGAAAAGCTAATAGGCCTGATGTACCTCTGATTAAATGAATCTCATCTGCCGAGAATTGGGGGGTTTGCTTGTACAGAAATGCTCCGCTTCTGTAATTTGGGGCTTAAACTTTCAGAAGTCTGTTTTCATAAAACCGGCTTAATGTAATCTTGTCGTATTATGTCAATATTCTGATAGAGCCAGATGTTTAACATTTAGCATCAAAATTTATTCTGGTCTAAAACGTGTAAACATGCCAAGTCCAAACCACTGTCTGTTTTGTTTTTATGTGATATTTAAGGTCAGTTAAATTGGAAATTTGTGCGCATCTAGCATACTTGCTAATGACTGCCTTGAAGCCAGCCAGTCTGATTGGAAGTGGTGATTTCAGCCTTTTTAGCGCATATTATTCATCTGTGACGTTAGTAAACTAGACTGACCCTAGTGTTCAATCTAGCTGTTATTTAGCACAAGCTATTGTTAAATTAATTTATGTTGGACATGGTTTCGAAAATCTTGATATTGAATGTTTATTTTTTTTAACAGATTAGGAAGGAAAAGACAAGAAAGGAAAAAGGTTTTGGTGTCAGGTAAACTACTCTGGGCACTAGATTTAAATTACAGGTCATCACAGGTCCCCTTTCAAGCTATCTTCCTGTCTTTGTTTTTATTTGTCTTGTGTGCCACAAAAGGCTTTTGTCACACTTTCCTAGGTAGTCTTTAGAGTGATCAACAAACCCTCATATAAAAGGTCAAGGGTCAAAATATTTTGACCTTTGACGAACACTATAACTATAGCAAAAATGTGTTTTTGTGCTGCCTGTGCACCTTCATTATTATTTAATCCTTTCAGAATGCAATATCAGGCATGATGACATTAATTAATACATACCTTAATTATGAATATATCATTACGTCACATATGTGACCTTGGACCACAAAACCAGTCTGACGTCGCTGGGGTATATTTGTAGCAATAGCCAAAAATACATTGTATGGGTCAAAATTATTGATTTTTCTTTTATGCCAAAAATCATTAGGATATTAAGTAAAGATCATGTTCCATGAAGATATTTTGTCAATTTCCTACTGTAAATATGTTAAAACTTAATTTTTGATTAGTAATATGCATTGCTAAGAACTTCATTTGGACAACTTTAAAGGCGATTTTCTCAATATTTAGATTGTTTTTGCACCCTCAGATTCCAGATTTTCAAGTAGTTGTATCTCGGCTAAATATTGTCCTAACAAACCATGCATCAATGGAAAGCTTATTTATTCAGCTTTCAGATAATGTATAAATCTCAATTTTGAAAAATTGACCCTTATGACTGGTTTTGTGGTCCAGGGTCACATACTGTATATAAATTGTATTTCAATGGTACACAATCTTCTATTAAACTCATATCCAGACACACTCATTTTAGTAAAAGCGAGGTGTAAACAACATTCAATAAATCTGTGGTTTTGCAGATATTTTTGTCTTGAGATTTAGTTTTGACTCCTTTGGATTTGCATCCCAAATCTATTTTAGTGAAATCACACTGCAAACTGTGATTTATTCCATATCTGGCTACTACTGTAAATGAGAGCTTGCCTGAGGTAAAAGCTTTGTTTTATGCAAAGTTTTATTTTTTCCGTACATTTCTGCCATATGTACATTTACTGACATAGTCACCACCAGTGTTGGGAAAAGTTACTTTTAAAAGTAATGCATTACAATATTGCGTTACTCCCTAAAAAATTCACACAGTGCACACAATTCCTCTGCACTTCCGATTTCTCCCAATATGGGGACAGGAGAGCTGTCAGTCAATAAATGGGAAAACAAAGTAACTGGCATTACTTTTTTTGAAAAAGTAATTCAGATATTTTCTTGTAAATTAAAAAAGTAATGCGTTACTTTACTAGTTACTTGAAAAAAGTAATCTGAT